GATTTTTCATATCTACATTTGAAATGACGGTATATATGACATATAGTCCGTAGTACAGACCCCTTTTTATCAAATTATTAACATCCGCATAAAGCTTCGTGAATAGCTTCATCTCATCGTAACCCACAAATATTTTATTTATGAAAATTCTCGGTATTGAGGCGTTTTCAATCTAGTGATCGGCAAACTTTGTCTATTTAATTAGGTACTAAAAACTCTTGAATACCCGTTTGCTTTCCACTTGGATCATAAGATAATTTGATCAAAAAATCGATAAATAATGTGGCCTACAAAAACATTGGGGTCCTGTATAACCTGGATATTTTGACAATTTGGAGGTGTAGGTCACGCCAAACGGCTCTCTATTATTGTAGGTCACCTTTTTTTTTTTTTTTTCTATTTTGTAGTTTACGATGAGATGAAGCTATTTACAAAGTTTTAAGCGGGTTTTAATAATATGACAAGAAGAGGTCTGTACCACGGACTAATATGTTTATCAAGGAAGGAAATGGTCCGGGTTGCCGTCATAAATAGGCTAAATAGTGGTAAAACTATTTAGTTTTACATAAAAACTATTAGTAAAACTTGTAAAAAGTATCGGTAAAACTATTAGTTTTACCACTATTTAGCCGGATCATCTCCTTCCTTTATAATACAACGGTCAACTATCAAATATTTAATATGTTATTCCTTTTAAATTATTTCAAAAACTTTTTTTTTCATTTTAAGCCATTATATTATATTGTTGTCAGAGGTTCAATATTTTTTAATAAGAAATTTTATAGAATAATAAAATGTTTTCGGATGTTTAACGGGCTTCTAACATTTTTGGGTAACTACCTGTTTCCGTATAACTAGTGAGGCATGAACATAACGACTGGTTTTATATAATGTTAGTAGTCATATTCCTAGTTCTTGTTGAGCTAGAATGGAGATGGAGGGGTTATGCAGTTACCCTGATTTTGTTCCAAAAAAAAGAGCTAATTAGGCCATTCTATTTGGGTAATTGGGTCCAGAGGGATTTAGTTATCTGACTGGTTTTTCACAAGACCTTAGAAGTCTCACTAATATTCTCTAACGTTTCCCATATGTATAAGGAATTGAAACTCCATACCTCATATTTATACTCCAATATTTTTATAATGATGTAGAGATGGTTGACCGTTGATATAATATGAGAAGGAGTTGATCAGGGGGTGCGGTCAAATAAATACTAAATTAAACAAATAGTATTATTTAATGTTTGCCGACGTTTTGACCCACTTTGCAGGTCTTCATCAGGGCTACAAAAGATACAATAAATAATATTACTTGTTTAATTTAGTATTTATTTGACTGCTCCTCCTCATCAACTCCTTCTCAATATTTTTATAGCTAAATGTTGTACAATTATAATAGAACATATAGTTGTTAATTAAACTGTTTATCAAAAAGCTACCATATTTATTATTTTTAGTTATATAACTTAAATTCAGAAAAAAAGTAGTAAAAGTTAATTTACAAGTACACTGTATTATAATTTCCTTTGTTTTGCATAATAAAATCTATTTTCAATTCATTTCATTCATTGTACGATTTATTCATTTTTTAATTATATTTCTTTCGTTCGTCGAGTTTGACTTGGACTTGAAAGCACCATCTATATTATTTGTACTTACGATAAATTTCTACTAAGTTTAAATTTATTGAGCTCACATGAATTATTTATGAATCAATATATTATTAATGAATAAATATATTAATTAAATAAATAAATTAATAAATGTATAATTCGCAAAAATAATTAAATTTATAATTAATAAATTTTATGTTTAAATTTATATTTTATGATAATTGTCTGCAATTTAAAGACATTCAAACTTCGAAGATTTCTTTATTTCTTCATATGTTTTCAATGTTTCGGATGAAATGTTATTAAAAAAAACATATTTGCAATAAAAATAACTTTCTCTAAAATTTTTGTCTATTATCTAATGTTAACCTATTGTATTTTCTTACATTAACTTACAAAATTAAGTTAATTTGATATTAAATTTATTGTTTTAAATTAATGTTTATTTAGGCAATATTTTTTTCATATTAAACAATAAAAACAATTTTTATTATTATTACTTTTTAAAAATTTATTCATTGAGTATTGAACCACAAAACTGTCACATGAACACTAGTTATAGTGAGGTATTATTATTAATAATTACTTATACCCTTTTATGTTTGTTCTTTCGAATAATCCAATCCCCTGAATTCTTTTCTATTTGTATGTATTATTGCTGATTTAATGCAAGGAAAATCGTATAATTATATATAATTCTTAATATTTATAATTTTAATTAATAATTATGTCATAAATGATAACGAGAAAATAACTAGTAACAATGTAATTAATAACAAGAAAAGAAACATTATATATATATATAATGTAAATAAATTATTTTTCAATCAAATTTATACTTAAAAATTAATTTAATTTCTTAATTATATTTAGTATATTATTTGAAATGGCGAATTCCTAAGCGTATAAAATATGTCAGATAAAATAAAATATTCTAATATAATATTAATATATTTTTCGTGATGTAATCTATCTGTTTACCTCTAGACAAATGTTAAGCATACTTGTTTAAAGCGTAGATGTTTTCAGTTATAAATTCCTCGATAAAGTTGGTTATTTGATATCGACGATAGTTGTTGAAAGAAGGGCCTAAAGGACGAGACTACGACCCGATAACTATTTAATAGCGGCATAATAAAAACTATTATAGCTCCTTTTCGTTAACGTTAATGACCTTTTCGAAAGTGAGCCGTAATCATTAACCCAAATAGCGAAGTGAGCCACCCGATAGTGAGTGACGTGGTAATAACTTCGAAGGTGACGCTAACTTAAACTCTATAGTCTCTCCTATGGCGTTATGATAAAATTACTATAGTAGCTATATTTAACGTAAATAAATTATGAGGATTAATGTGTAATTTATTACTACTTTGGAAAAATGTATTACAGGTTTATTACTTCTTTCCTCTCTTTGGGAAGTTGGTGAGGTTGACGAAAGTGTGTACAAATCATTCAAAATGTCGAGTCCTGTTATTTATTATTATTATTATTAGTTAAGAAGTATCTGAAGCCTACAAAATTCAAAGAGGATTGCGGTAAAAAGTTGTGTTCTCGCCGATGTTTTCAACGTAGTGGTGGAGTTGATAAAAATTTGACGTGAAAATAGAGAGTTGCACCTTCTAAAGAATTATCCTTGGAAGCAATCAGGAAGACATTGATGGACTCGCTAAGACTCTCATAAGAAAAGCAAATAAAATTTGGCTTAAAAGTAAATGAAGATAAAACCAAATATATGGCAACAAACCGAAAATTTCACCACCACGACAGGCTCAACGTGAATGTGAAATCATTCCTAATAGTATACTAAGTATACTTTACAAATTCAGATATCTCGACTGCATAGTAACCTCAATGAATGACGAAAAGTCAAAAATAGTTCAGTATATAACAACCAAAAACAGAGCTTTTCTCTATATAAATCAAAGGTATTGAACTCCCTAAAAATCTCTTATTAAGGATGCACAATAATATGATAAAGCTAGTTCTGGTATAAGGCTGTGAAATCTGGACAATAACCAGCACCCTAGAAAGAAGTAGAGTATAGAGAAAGAAGTGTTAAAAGTGAATGAAGTAGAAGAACTATTAAAGAATAGTTTACAGAATCGATGCCACGGGATATTTATAACATATTTAGATTTTAAAAATCAAATTATTACTATTTATGATAAGTCTTCGATAAACTAAAAATCTCTTTATTAAGAAATAATTCATTTCCTATTCAGTATGAATATTCAATAATTCATAATATTCAGCCATGAATATTATAGCTGTGTGAGGCACATTCATACTATATTTACAATACAATAAAAAGATTTTTAACAAAAGCAAAACTGTAATATAAACAATAGAAATGTAATTTAAAGTGAACTAAAATAATGCAGAAATTGTTAGAACAAAAAATAATAATAAAAATTGATATAAATGAATAACTATATAAAACAAACAAACAAGAATAAAACCAACGGTTATACTTGAAAAATCTATTGAAACGGTAAATGGAGGAGAATGGTCAGGTGTTTAGTGCATCTCGAATAATGTATAATGAAACAATATTGTTATCTTAAATAAATAAAAAAATATATCGAAGTATGTCTTCTATACTCTCACTAATAGACCTCTATAACTAATAAGTCTTGAGCGAGTACAATAGTAGTAGTATTGCCCGAATGCGAGACCAAGGCGAGTCTTGGTCTTGGTCTTGCTTCGGAGTCTTGTAATAGTCTCGCAGTTACCTTTCAGCTTATTTCTATAGAGATGTTACTGTACTTTTTCAGATAGAAGAAAACTAGGTAAAGCCGAATGATAAATTTAAAGAGTTAAAAGCAGATATATATTAGTTATACCAATTCTTTACATATAGTAACTAAAATTGTCAAGTATTAGTAATTATTTGGCCTTAATTTTTATTCACAAAAACATTCTTTTTTTCACCATTATTGGTCTTTGCAAGACCAAGACTGATTGGATTAGTTTAAGTTGAGAGATAGGTTATTGCTTAATTGTTACACTGGAGGGATATGTTTGCAACTCATCATTTACTAAGTAAATTATCACTTTAACAGTCGTGGTAAAGTATAAAGAATGGTGTGTTGAATAGACTACCTTGATAATATATCGTAAATCCGAATAAACATGTATCGATAGGGCGAATGTATTAAGGAAAATTATAGCTATCCAATATCTAATCCGAGTACTCAATGGTTTATACTAGTTTTTAGTTATATTGCCAATTTCCTTAAATGTTCCCCCTTATTCCTCATACAGCCGTCCATCTTGTAAGACCCTGAGACGGAGGCAGAAGACACACTAGCTCACTTTCACTAGCGGGGAAAGCGACCTCCAGATAAGAGTATCAATTACTGGCCCTCACCGGAGGAGAAGGGAGGGGCAGGCGGCAGTGTTGCCAGGAGCAGTCAGTAGGATGGCTGATCCTCCGGTCGTAGTTCGTCTTGTAGTGTCGTGTCTACGGTCCCGATCTGGAGGGTTGTCTCGAGTCTGAGGTCCCGGGTATAGTGTCCTGTCTGGAGTCTGAGGTCCTGGCTATAGTGTCCTGTCTGGAGTCTGAGGTCCTGGCTATAGTGTCCTGTCTGGAACCTGAGGTCTCGACATAGGGTGCCGTCTGGAATCTGAACTTAAGGTGAGTCGTCGATAAGTAAAGAGTAACAGTTTAGAAGAATTCTGCAAAAAGCGAGGGATATGTTTATGAAAAATCCTTAGAAGCTTTCAGCATAAATAAAATAAACCAATATGATTAACTGATAATAATTATAGCAATCAAAATATGATGAATGTCAAGTTTTATATTTTATATGAAAATAAAGTGTTTCTCTCTGTATATTAGTAACGAGAATTAGAGAAATTCTGAAATATTTTTAATTTTATTAAACTTTCATTAAGAAAAAAAAAGAATAGATTTTTAACTGCGAACAAAGTAAAATTACACTAGAGATTAAAGAGTCCACAACAGTGTAGATATACTTTTTGTTTTAAGTGATAAAGTTAGTTGCTCAGTTGTAGGAGAAAGAAATACTTTATTTAAAGCAGTGCTGTACTACTTCACAACATACTGAACATTCCCATTTGGTGGAAATATCACATACATATATATTATTTTATTATTATAAAGTATATATTTTTCCCTCGCTTATCGTATCGCTAACTATGTATAGTATCAATATTATACTTCTCTACATTATCGCAATATATATTTGGATGATACTGATATAATATAAACTCTGAGATGTAAAAAAAAAATTTCTAGCGCACAAAAATCTTGCATACAACATAATTTTATGAATAAATAAAAAAATATAGACCAGATTAAATATTTCAAGCCTGCTGATTTTTACCTTATAGTTGGTAAATTGTACTTCTACAAGCATTTCAAATGGCGATTGTATGATAAGTTTTGATTTGATTAAATATTTTTAAAAAAATAATTAAATTTTAGCTTTTATTTTTATCTGTTTCGTTGGGACTGTAATATTTATTTAAATTTTTTTATGTTATTTCGGAACTAGAACATTTTACCTTACAAATTTTGAATTAAAGGTTTACAGAGATTTTATTCTTAAAAACGTTTGTTTAAGAGTTCTGTTGATTTAGCCAAAAAATGGTATTATCAGCTACGACACATTAGAATAACGACACATACAAACGACACATTAGAAACAAGACAAATTACAGCTATATAATATAAACTCAATTACTGTTTATTTCTTATTTAACGTAACTTTTTTAAAAAACGTAGATACCTTTTTTTATTGGATAATATAATATTTTGTTACATAGACAATGGTTATAATGAGGTAAAACTACATTCACACTACATATACATATATATAGAAAAGATAAAGTATATAGAAGCAAAATAACAACTAAATAATAATAAAAAATAGTATTAATGTAAATAAAATTAAAATATTTACTTTAGACATAAAAATGTATTACATAAAGGACTTTTATTTTATATTTTTCCTACATGTTTCACAGAAACTGTTGAAATAAAACTTTTAAGAAAATTCTATAAAAGTTTAAAGCTCTGATATTAACAATATATATTGTGGTCCTTACATAGAAAGAAGTATTGTATTACTTTGGTACAACAAAGGCGCCAGAATGAAGGAGTGTTAACCCCATGACACGTGTGTGCGTACGCGTAGACAATGTAAGTTCGAAGAAGGCTGTATAATACATACTAATAATAAAATCATAAACAGAAATACAAATAATAATAAACTAAGTAGTTTTAAATAACATATATCTTCAATAATTTAAAGTGTCAGTTTATAATTTTAAAAAGATAACTATCTGAAAAATTATTATAAAACTGTTGATCAGCATTAACTGATGTCTTAAATACCTGTAAAATTTAAAGAACGTGTTTTTATTAAGTTTTAATAAATTATAAGTCCAAAAAAAGAGTCATGACTTCCATCTTAATATAATAAAAAAAAAAACATCATTGCAGAGACATGTCGCCTCAACCATTGTTTAGCTCAACACCTACCTTAATGTTGAGTTTCCTTTTTTTTTCTAAAACTATATTTTTCTGAAACTTATAATTATTAGGTTCTCCTAATTTAAAAAATACCATGCCCATTTTTGTATTTGTGGAAGGGAGCCAATTTTCTATAACTTTGAGTTATTGAAACATTTTCTTTTGGGTTCATAAATCATTTAATAAAAAGTGGATTGCGTCCTTTACCTCCAGGACCCAGAGTTAATAAGAACACTTAAATATGGATGAGTAACCATAAATATAAAATATAAGAAATTATTAATATATTATAAAATATATAAATATCGAATATAGAAATAATAATATTAGATAGATAGATTGATGGAAAGTAAAATTTATTCTGGGACGAGGTTCCTTATGAATAACAGTTATGAACAAAAAATAAAAACTACTTCTGGCCAAAAATTATTTAATCAATATTAAAGAATATATATAGCATCTTCAGTAACATTATATTAAAACAAGTAAAAATAACATCATTTTGAAAAAAAAAAACTAGAAAGAACATTATCTAAATGAAAAGAAAACAAAATAATATAAGCACGGGTTGATTTTTAAAATTAAAACTCAATCAATTTTAACATTATTACTTGCCATATCTAGGATTTTTACTCAGAGGAGCTAAATTTTTCCATCCGTTCATCTACTCTCCGTGCACATCTTACTCCCAATAAAATTCTACATTTTATAACAGTATTTTTAATAAGGTATTTAGAAAAAGGGGTGGGATGGCCGAGCGAGCTAAGGCGTGTGCACAGCACCACGTGTTGCCTGGCAACCTGATAACCTATTTTACTGACGATAAAACAACTACGATTTCGCGTCCCGGTGACCGGTGGGCTTTTAACTCAGGCATTAATCCTCCAACCTCACCCCTTGGCCTGGTAAAAGGCGAGGTAGGGGAAAACAAGGTTACGAGAATTTTAAGTTATTTAGAAATAAACATCATCAACAGATCACAGAAATGTTGTCATTGACTAAGTTAATATCAAAATAATAATAAATATTTTTTAATTAACCTAAAAAAAAATTATTTGTTAGTTTGTCACCCTCTGAATTCTACCGCTCGTGGAAATTGCTCACTATGCTTCTACCTAGATCCGGTCCTGTATAATAATAATAATTTAAGAATTATAGATAATTAAAAATAAGAAATATGTTTGGATATAATTAAAAGAAAGAATAAAAAACAAACATTTTTTATTTTATTAATAACAAATATTTTAAACTTAGTTTGATGCGAACAATCAAGAGTACATACTAACCCCTTGCTTGTTAAGTTGAATTTCAGCAATATCTCATTTTAAATTATACTACTCGTATATTGCTTTGATTCAAACCTAACTTGAGATCCTGCATAATAATTCCACAACATAGTAAATCTAATCATCAGGACGAAATCCAAAATTTAAATGAAAAAAAAAAATAAATCACTAAGGAAAAAAATATTACCAGAAAAATCTCTATGATGACTATATACTAACAAAGTTTTAAAGATTTTTGTAAGCAAAGCATAAATGTGTAAAAATTATATTTTTATTGTTTCCTCTCTGTGGTATAAACATTTACTGGTTTTCCACGGGTAAAAACAGTATTCTCTTAAGTCGAATCTAATGTCCTTAAAAGTTTGTCTCTTCATTTATCATTCAGCGTCTAAAAACTAAAAAAAAAAATGGTAACAATTATTGAAGCAATTTCTTTTTAATTAAGTGAGGATACGACATATGTTTTTATAAAACCAATAATAGTCTCCATTTATTATATACTGACGGCAGTGAAAACGCCTTAATGGTTCACCTCTAATGCGTTAGTCAGGTGTTTGGAATTCAGTGTTAATCTTCTTCCCATTATAGTAATCTTAACAAAAGCTTCAAGACCCAGTTTTTCGACGGCACACACATTCTTTTACAATATTCTCCGGTTATTTGCAGTTCGTAGAGTTCAATGAATTTATCATTTTTTTTAATGTAAGTTGATTTTCTTGTAAAAAATGGTTTAACTTATTAGAAAAAATTAAACTAATCTTTTCTTTACGCACGAGTATATGCTTTTCTTTAATTTTTATAATTTATATTTTTTATGATTATTGTCTCTACAATTAGGGTTATTTCATACATAACATATTTATCAATCCTTAGCGTATGTAACGTACATACATTTATACATATATAAATATTCTATATAACAACAATGAGATGAGCCAAACATAAAAAAAATCATGATTAACTTCTGGTCGTTGATGGTAGAATAAACCAATAAAAAATATGGTTACAAATTGGCTATAAGAATAATTATAATTATATAATAATATAAATTGGCAATAAGGTGTGATTAGTGTTGCCCAAATGCGGGACCAAGACTCGTCTTGGTCTTGCAAAATCAATCTTGGTCATGGTCTTGGTCTTGCGCAAGACTCTCGCAACAGTCTTGTAGTTACTTATTATCTTATTAATATAGAGATATTATTATAATTTTTTTGGCTTAGAGAAACCTAACTAAGCGCGAATAAAAAATTAGATGAATTAAATGCAAAAGTATATTAGTTATACCAATTATTAACATATAGTAACTAAGATTGTCAAGTATTAGTAACTATTTTGCCTTAATTTTTATTTAAAATATCAATTTTTTTTTTACTAGTATTGGTCTTGGTCTTGCAATAGTTAGGCAGCCTTGGTCTTGGTCTTGCTAAGTGCAAGACCATGACCAATTTTGGGCAACACTAGGTGTGATGTATAATGTATTTTATTTTGATAAAAAATAATACAAACTGAACTACAGAATACATATAATTAATGTTATACAATTTGAACAACGAGTATGATTTGAATGAACAGTTGTATAATTTGTAAAATAGGCGTTGTTCCGCCGTTAGACAGTATAAATAACTTTATAAGTTCAGTATAATTCAAATTAAAATTCCTGTCAGAGGGGTAATTTAGAATGTAACAGTCTCAGTCGAAAATTCAACGTTTTGTCAACCCTAAGTATGTGATCAACAAATTCTTCTAGTATCGATTAAATACAGTAAAATATATTCAAAACCTAAACGAAAATTCGATTAAATATTAAATAAAAATATAATATATAACCTCTAGGTAATTAATTTTAGGTAA